CTGGGATGATAAAAATTGTTCTGGAACTAGATGGTAGTGGTGATTGCACAACCCTGTGAATATACTAAAAACCAGTGAGTTATACATTTTTAAATGGTGAATTTTATGGTGTGCAAACATAAAAAAATAAAAATCCCAATGGAAAAGACAAGTTATGTACAGAGAACCAATGACAAGAATAATGCCATATATCTCATTGGAAATAATGCAAATTAGTAGACAGGGGAGCTACATCTTTTTGTTTGGGGAGATTTTAAAATTATTTTCTTGATTTCAGAGAGGAAGGGAGAGAGAGATAGAAACATCAATGAGAGAATCATTATCAGCTGCCTCCTGCATGCCCCCTACTGGGGATTGAGCCTGCAACCTGGGCATGTGCCCTGACCGGGAATCCAACCATGACCTCCTGGTTCATAGGTTGGTGCTCAACCACTGAGTCACACTGGCTGGGGAGGAGCTACAGCATTAAAGTATGGAAAGAAAAAAACTATTCGAGCAAAACTATCTTTCAAAACCAAAACCAAAATAAAGATTTTTTTTTCAGATATACAAAAGCTGAAAGAATTCCAGCATATCCAGTCTCCACACAATGTTAGAAGACATCCTTCAGGCAGAAAGACCCCAGATGGAAATCTGGACCCACACAGCAGAATGCAGAGCATGGAAATAGAGGTACATGGGGACATGTGTATGCTCTTATCTTATTTAAGATAATCTACTTGTTATTGTTGTGTTTTTAATAGTTTTTTCCTTTTAAAAAATATTTTTATTGTTTTCAGAGAAGAAGGGAGAGGGAAAGATAGAAACATCAATGATGAGAGAGAATCTTTGATTGGCTGCCTCCTGCACACCCCCTACTGGGGATCAAGCCTGCAACGGGGAATCAAACCGTGACCTCCTGGGTCACAGGTTGGTCACTGCTCAGCCACTGAGCCTCAGTGGCCAGACTAGTTTTTTCCTTCTTATTTTGAGAGAACTGTAGATTCACATGCTATTCTGAGAAATAGTATAGAGCCCAGCCAGCATGGCTCTCTCCCTCCCTCTCCCTTTATCTCTCTCTAAAAAAATCAATTTAAAAAAAGAAATAATATAGAGATCCCATATATCTTTACCCAGTTTCTGGCAAAGTTAACTTTTAAGTAATCCATTACTGACATTAATCCATCCACTGACCTTGTTCAGATTATACAAGTTTCACATGAACTCCACTGAGTGTGTGTGTGTGTGTGTGTGTGGTGTTCTTGCAATAAAATGCAGTTTTATGACACTTGCTGCACATGTCAATAACATGTTCCTTTTCCTTGCTGAGTGGCATTTCATAGAGCACAGTTAACCATTCAACCCCTGAGGACAGATGGGTCATTACCAGTTTTTGGCTATCTACACTAATAAAAGACAAAGATGCTAATTGACCGTACCTTCACCACGCCCACCAACCAATCAGAGTGACTATATGCAAATTAACCCAACCAAGATGGTGGCCTGCAGCCATGGAGCTGGAGCAAGCAGGAGGCTTGGTTGTACCGGCGATGGAGGAAGCCAAGCTTCCCGCCTGCTCTGGCTGGCTGTGGCCTCTGCAAAAGGCAACAAAGTTTCAATTATAGAAGCTCAAAAAATCCCAGATACCTGCTTCCAGCCAGCCTCCACTGGGAGCTTGGGTGGCTGGGGGCTGTGGCCAGCCTGCAAACAGCCATCAGCCCCTCACCCAGGCTGG